GATTCTATGATTCTATGATTCTAAGTCAGGCTCCAGTTCATTGAAGAGACCCAAATTCTCTTTGCAGCTCAGCCACAAAATTTCTGTGTAACCCTGAGAGGAAGCCACTTACTCAACTCTGACCTTGGGTCTCTGTTGGCAAGTAGGGTAGTTTGCTACCTCCCAGGGTAGTACAGGGATGAATTACAGCAGTGGCTGGAGGGCTCTTGGATATAATGTTGAGGAAAGCCAACACAGAGAGAGAAACTATGAGAAGATTCAGGAATTTAGATTGGGATGAAGCATTTTCTAAAACAGCTTCCTCTTTCACTTAATCTTACTGCTTTTGAAGCAATATGGTTATTCTTGTTTGAAATAAAAGTCAACCATAACTTGTGTTAGAAATCAAGACTATCACTCATGTTACTCAGACACTTAGATAAAATTTGCTTTTGAATTGCTAATTCAAGCTTAATTTGTTGAAAATACAAATGTCTAGACACAATCTGTAAAAGAAACAAACAAAGTGAGGGTAGGGGGAAAGGAAATCCCACTGTGAAAACCACCTGCTTCTTATTACACTAATGGCAATGAACTGTCTGAATTATTACTTCACAGCATGCAATCTGAGTATTAAATATATAGCTATCTCTGCAGTTTCAAGCCACTGAAGATCTTAGCACTATTCTTCCATAACAAAAGCAGATTCCATTCACTCTGAGCTCTTGCTGTGAGTCCTAAGGATCTTATGATGCTTTTTTGGTCGTAAAAGGCAATTACCCTTTGTCCTTTGCTGAACATTTCCCCAGAAAGCCCCTCCCTCAAGCTGTGGGCCACGGTGTGGAAGAGGCTGCTCTAGCTCTTTTCCCAGAAACAGCTGCAGTTTATGACCAGAACAGTTATGTGCAGAGTTCAGAAGTCTGCATTTTTTTCACCGAAAAAAAAAAAAAAAAAAAAAAAAAAAAAAAAAGAAAACCCCTGTTTGTTGTTAACATTGAATTAGTACCGAATTATTTTACTTTCATTTCCAGCAACTCTTTCTAGGTGATATAACAACATACTTTTGCAGTATTGGCACTTACAGGTGCTTTGGAAGGAGGAGATATATCCAGCCAATGACTTGACTCCTCTGAGCTGAGCTCCCGCAGTGCCAAGGAGCACTCTCCAATTGTTTTTTTCCTGGGAGTCTGTGTCTGGATTTTAAATACCAATCTGACAGCCTGCAGGCTTTGCAGTTTAATAGCAAATACAAAAGTTTCCATAAATTCAATGTCCTAGAAAGAAAAACAGAGGGATAACATCATCATTGTAAGAGAGTCGCACCGAGCCTGAAACTTAGAAACCAAGGCTTCCTGGTCCTATAGCCACTGCTCCCGGTTACCATTTTAGGTTGCCAGGGAAAAGCGTGCTTTTACAGTGGTAAGCCCCCACACACTCACCACCTCCCTGGCAGGGAGAAAGCTCTGGATTATTTTTCACTACCATAACGAGTTGAGGCCATCTCTTCTGAAGCTTTACAACAGCATATACACATTGTCATAGCAAACTCTCCTGTGGCCTTTTGCTTCAGTCTCTCCTGCTAATTTTATTTTCTTTCACCTTTGACTCACATTATGGGAGGTTTATGTTGCTTTACCTTCCACCCCCTTAATATTTCTTTACTACCACTATTAGGAGTCTTGTCCCATGTGACCAATTCTTACTACTTTCTGTAGAGAGGAAGCATGAACTTTGTCTCCTGCCTTAGTGAGATGCAGTAACATCATCTACCTTCCCTGGGGTGAATGTGCATGTACAGGTATGCCAAGGCCAGCAGCTCATGGTTGAGTCCCCTATGAGCGTATCTGTCCTGCAGACTTGGGAGAAAAGGAAGGCAACAGTACAATGCAAGAGAGGATATGGGGGAGGAAGTGGAACAAGGCTTTTAACAGGATTTTGAGAAGTTGGAAAAAAATAAAAAACCCCTGTAACCCAAACCTAGGCAACTACCGCAGCAAATACACCACAGGAGTGGATGTTTGGTTCATTTTAAAAACCCATTTACATTTCACTTTTTCTTGGGGGGGGGAAAGATTTCTTGGTGTTTTCCCTGCCTCTACTTACATTGCACCCTTCCTTGGCAGAAGATTTGAATTGCACTGGTTTGGGCAGTGTGAGAATTCCCTTGACATAGATACGAGGATTTTCCCCACAGGTAGAAGGCCAGCTCAGTTCTTTACACTGCAACATTGAAAACACAGTCAGTTTAGACGATGTAAGACTCTGGCCTTCAGACAACTTAGAAACAGTCTTCTACAATGTTCTAGAATTTTGAATAATTCCTGTAATATTGAATATAAATCAGAGCCAGTGTAATGATTGTGTCACTTCAGATCATTTAATAATTAATTTTCACAACCAGAGGGTAAAAAGTTATTCGGTAGATTTTAATGATTTCACTATGTGGCAATTTGACAACAGATAAATCATTAAATCCCTTATGTAGTATTTATCACTTGACATAGTTACGAGGTTTCTGACTTCTCAAAGTTCCATTGCCTAAAAATTATTCACAGTTCCTGGAAGTGTATAAAACAGCCAGCCTAAGAGTATCACATTAGCTAACAAAAAAGCCACAAGAAGCTATACGTCCTCAAAGTGCTATTATGGTTCTGCCCTGAAGGAACTGTTAGATTTAAAGTCAGTTAAATGCTGCCTCCAAAGTTGCTCCAATTTGCTGACTCCAGATTTCCACAGGAAAATTTCCACAGCAGGACCAGCCTATGACCAGCTCAGCTTTCTTATCTATGCTGAACAGTTCCTCACTCCACAATCAGAACATATATAGTATAGTAACATAAAGAGTTATATACTACTTTTTACTATTGACTGCAGCAGAACAGGGATTGCAACAGAAAAAAAAAAAAAAAAAAGAAAGGAAGATACTGTGAATGAAGCCCAGTATTACATTTGACTGAACTTTGTTTATATTAATATTTAGAAGTAATTATCTTTTTCTCCTAAAAGCATTCCTTAAAGTGACAGCCAAATTTAATGAGAATTAACACTAAGTATAGTAAAATAGCCATTTGAGTAAATAATAATCAAGTTATTTGTATTTGCTTACATGTAAAACTGTGATCCAAATCTGTTCTACAGAAGAAACATAACACAACTTCACATTCAGTCTTCCGAAGTCTCGTTCATCACCTGATAATGTAATAGTATCTATGGAAGAAAGCCAATTGGTGTTTTTAGAAGTAATGTAGTATCTTAAAAGTTCATTCCAAGAATAAGGGAACTTATTAGTAGGTGGACTGCCTATCTTTGAAAACTTCTCTCAAAATAAGTTTGAAATATCTTAACACCTACATTTTAAGGACAAAATATCCATGAAGTCCTGTAGCCTGACCTTCTGCATAGCTAAAAGCCTTCACGTTTACCTCAGTTATCTCTATTGAATTTAATAACTTGTGTTGTATTCAAACAACTTTTAGAAAGAAAAAAAGCATGTGCCTGAGACATCCAGAACACATTTATAATCTATCACTTCCCTTAGATTAATCACTTTCACTGTTAAGTTTATAAATTGGGCTGCTTTTTATCTTTCTCAGATTTCAATTCCAGCCTAGTAAACATTTGACTATTAAGCTTTTCTCCAAGTCAGAAGAGCCATTTAATATCCAGTGTTTCTCTGTTATGACTGAAACTAGGTCATTGCCCCCCAGTCTTCTTTTTGAGGAGACTGAGTGAAATTCTGACTTCCAGCAAGGTGACTTTTGTGGAAACTTGATTCAGTTTTTGGGTTTATTTTGCTGTATCTCCACTTCTTCAGCATTCTTTCATAAACAAGGATACTAGGTTTGCATGCAATATTCTTGCCTAATACTCAGTGTAATATAGTTATTGGATTCCAGGCACTTCCCACAGAAAAATACTGATACGTGAAAAAGAACTAGAGCTGTGACCAAGAGCTGCATTCTATCCTAACAGAACATCTGTAATTTCTTAGTTCACTGGGGTAGCAAATCCAGGGGTGAATTTTTCAAAAACTCCTCAAAGGCTCATTTGCTCAATCTCCTGACAACAGGAAGGTGCAAGTCCAAAACTCTTAGTTTGGAGATTACTTTGCAATTTGAAATTAACTTGCTAATCAGATTCATCTCAAAAAAAAAAAAAAAAAAAATCATCAACAGTAGAGACAACTTAATGTTTCAAGTGCAAAGTGAAATATTTCATTACAAGGTAAACAAACAAAACATTACCCAGACTTCTGTTACTGCCTTGCGAATCCTTCCTGGAAGAGGTACTGCTAGGTACACTGGAGAATGAATCATATCTCTGGGGGCAAAAAACAAAAGTAATTTCATTCAGAGCAACAGATGCAAAAAGCCAGAGAGATTCTACCATGAGACAAGACATGATGAAAACAAAACAACACGTAATTTCAAATAATTGTCTCATTCCCTACTAATCTCTTGATCCAGCAGCATGGAATTACTACTTTGACGCAAAGAGCTAATACAGGACACATATGGCCAGCACAGATGTTTTTGCTCACTGATATATGCAACTTCATTTCTGTGTAAAAGATAATTATTTGAAAAAAAAAAAGCAGGGTTTTTTGCATCAATAGAAACTTCTAATGTTCCACTTTTCAACTGATGGGAGAAATCACAAGATGACGAACCACAACCTCTTGTCTGTCTTGTTCTGCCTAACAGCCTACTCAGGTTTCTCAACAGCCCCGTTGGGCCAGAACAGCAGTAGTCAGAGAAGACATCAGGAAAGAGCCTCTTGAAGTTGGTCAAGTCGTTGAACTTTTCCCTGTAGTCCTTCCAGTGCATAGTACAATGCCCTCCAGTGTTTACTTTGAAAACAAATGCAACAGGAACAGATACACCAAGTAAGCTGAGTTTTCATTATAATCTAAGTCACAAGGGGAACTCACCTTCATGAATCGATGAGGCGGGCTTCTGAGATCAAACATTGAACGACTTACATCAAATGAGCCAGGCAAAGCACTAGGTCTTAAATCACTAACTAAAAGACAAAGAGAATTAATACAGATCATGTAAGCATCATTGCTAGGAAAAAAAAAAATTAAGAAGCTTTTTTTAAATTTAAGTAGACTTATGGTAGAATTGAAACCTAGCTAAATAACGTCTAAGGAAGGATGTCAGCACCTTTCCCCACCTCCCTTTCCCAAAACACCCTCCTGAAACAACAAAATGGAGAGAACAAGCCATTAAAATATCTTAATCAATTCCATCTTTGAAATAGTTCAAACTTACTTGGTCACATTGGTAGCACTGGTAGAATGGGGAGCCTGCCTCAAAGTTATTTCCTCAAGAGAAATGGTTTTTTAGTATATGCTTTAACAAAACAGAAAAGCCTTTTCTTTAAATCTAGTCAGCCAGAACTGGGGCTTAGCCTGGTCTCCTTTTTTAAATTTTTCCACAGTAAAGATCCCAGTGGCAAAAACATGCTGCCTCCTAAACTTGGCCTCATCTCCCTGGCTTTACTGATCACGGTGTCAAAGCACCATACTCTGCACCCTTGATAGATCTCAGACAAAGCAAGTCTCAACTCTAAGATGACATGTACTTGTTATAAGACAAAAGCAAGATCTTTATTTTATAGAAGGGTAGTTTCCTCAGCAATTGGAGGTGGTTAAGTAGATCCTATAAGTTTTCTTTTGACCTTGAAGCAATACAGAGCTAAAGCACATTGTCTATGCATATTATGCAGCAACAGTAGAAAATGAGAGCTGAACTAATGCCATTGTTTCAGGAATCTTTGCTGACTCCAGTAATGTTCAAGAGGTTTTTAAAGCCTCCCAACTTCAGAACTGATCCATACTGAAATGAATGAAAGCAGTATGGTTTAACTTCTAGGACTATCTGATGCAATGAATTGCTTTTTGTTGCAATGCTGTGTGACGGTATTTCAGAAGACTTCCGTTACAATTCACTGATCATAGCTTAATAGAATTACATCACTCATTACTGAAAATTTATTTCCCTTTTATTGCTATCAAAAGAAATAACCAATTATACTTATTGTGAGATGTGAAAATAAAGAATAATTCTTTCTTTTCCCAAGGAAGAAAAAGAACAAAAGATGAAGAAAGTTCTGACAACCCTTGGGAGGGAAAGGAAACTAACAACATAATTTAGATAAAATTTAATGAAGGTCTGTATGTCTGGCATGAGTTCCAGATTCTCTCTTGTGGATGACACAAAAGGGCTAAGTCTGGTGTAGAAATAGCATTATTGTATCATAGGAGGCCTAGAAACCTTTTTTGATATAGTGGGAGCAAATAGGAGAGATCAGCCTGTTACTTGATTTGAAATTGGTTATGGAAATTAATTCCATATTCCGTACTCGTGACTTTCACAAACTACTGGGAAACATCCACTTGAGCCTACAGGTTACAAATCACCGAAATGCTTTAAAGACAGTATGATCTGCTGTTTCTAGTAAAGCTGGTTAAAGTTTGCAAAGAACAAGGGGGTAGTGGGAAGAAGAGACGGTGCCTTTTTCAAAAACTTAAATTTTTAATGGAAAAAAATGTCAATTTTTTTACACTGAGAAAGCTGTCTGTAAAATATAAAAAAGCGGAAAAATTTTAACCGTAAACATATGTTGTTTACCAATAATAACTAGAACTTTGGAAAAATATTAATCAATTTATTTTTCAGTTTGTTTGTTTTGGTTTTTTTTTTAGGATGAGAGGAGGGACTTCACATGAAAATTCAAGAATATCACTTCATACCTTTCAAATAAACATATTCTGTAGTTCTAAGCCCACACACGTGAAAAGTATCATAGCACTTACTGCAACAAAATAGGCTTAAAGTTTTACTTAAATAGTCTATAGATGCACATGAAGAGAATCATCTAGTTTTTGAAACAGCTGTCAAAAAACTCTGGAGGAAGAAGGCATTTTAGAACTGTACTCTAGACACACTTAAGGGACCTTTCTTGTGTTTAAGCTTACTAAGACAAAACTAGTGAAGTGTTTACTTAGCTTGAAGAGAAATGGAAAAAGAGATGATTAACTGAAGGGAAGATGTTCAAGGCAGTTTTATAAAATCCATTTGGCTCCCACCACAAAAAAGCTTTGCTTACAAAGCCTAGCAAAACCATACGTGTTAAAGGCTGCTAAAATTCTACATGTGTTTTGTTCTCTTAAAAAAAATATATGGAGTAGTCTTTTCATGTAGTTTCTACGGTGATTCAGAATTATTTTTAAAACTGGACACAGACCGAGACATTTCCCACAGCTGTAAAATAAAGATGCTATACCATTCTAAATAAAGCATCTTTAAAAATGCATGCTCTTGCCAGCTTCTGATTTGATAGAGAGGTGTGTACATTTCGTCGATATCCTGGTTCCGGCTGGGACAGAGTTAACTTTCTTCCCAGTAGCTTGGGGGGTGTGCTGTGTTTTGGGTTTGAAAGGAGTGTGGAGTGTTGATGGCCCATTGATGCTTTGGTTGTTGCTGGGTGATGCTTGCTACTTCTCAGGCATTCCTTCACTCAACATACTGCCCAACTTCCTTTTTCCATCTCCCTCAAACACTTCTGTTACTGGTAGCTGGAATCTCCAGTACTGCATCCTGTTTTGGATTGGAGGCAGCTACCCTAGCTTGCTTTGCCAATTTGTCTACCTTCGTGTGATGCATGCAAGCCTTGGTAAGCCCCCAAAAGACAGAAAGTAACAGCGCAGCTAGAAATCAAGCAGAGCTGGCTCCACAGATTGATTCGCCAACCAAGAAGTGTCTGTGCATACAAACCAGTTTAAGAACTGCTATAATCAAACACGTCTTCCGTAGACTAATGGCTTTTTTCTCTTAGCTCTAAACCTTGGGAAAGGGAGGAAGACAGGAAAGTAAGGGTGCGGTCCTTCTCACCTGATCCATATAATTTCCTATTATCTGATTTTGCTTGGAAGCGCCTCATCAGATCTGGCGAAACCCGATGCTCCAAATAGAATGGATTGTACACATCATAGATGGGCCATTGGTACACGCCGTGCAGTTCTGCTTTCCGGTCACCAAATGAGGCTCTGGCAGATTCTGTGGAGCACAAGTAAACATCAAATGCAAGAGTTCCAGACATAACACATGCTGCCTTAAGGCAGGCAGAGTGCCTTCAGGGCAATGGACAAAATATTTAAATATTATCTACTTCAGGAAAAGGAAAAAAAAAAAAAAAAGAAAAAGTGAAGAAAACACACTCACACATTATGTCAGATTTCCACAGTGTGCTAGCAAACACTAGAATTAAATTGGCCATAAAAAGCTGTGCATATTCTGTCTTGGAGTTCCACAATAAATGCCTAACTAGTTAAAATACAGAAGGCTCCAAAGACAGACAGCAAGACAGAAATTAACAGGAAAAGTAGGGCTATGTGTACAGAAAACCTCTGACTTACTTGGCTACCTACCCCCAGGACATTCCCACTCAGCTAATGGATCCCCAGACCTTCAGGAGGGTCTTGTATGGAAAGATAATGCAACTTGTGACTGTGGTCTCCTTGTCATCCAGTTTCAATAGGAAGTCAGTCAGTGGTAAAATCACTGGTCCAAAATTATCTGAATCGTTGGCTGAGGCACAAGTAGACAGATCTGAGAATGCTTGAATCCCAGGCCTTTACTCAGCCCATTACAGCACAGCTGCCCTATTTTTCTTTCCTTTATTTATAATTATTTCAGAAAAAACATGCACGTCTTGGTCAGCAGAACAGTAAAGAACGCTGCTGTAGTGCTTCATTTTGTCTGTCTGGAGTGAAAATAAGCCATATATAACAATACAGTAGAGAATGCAGATGGAGTGACCTGGACTCTGCCAAGTTCTGACATTTCCTTTGCCTCCCTGGACTTCAACCTATCTGTTAAAAAGTTCTTTAGCCCGTTATGAAGTGCCTTCAATTCTGCAAGTGTGTTGCACCATAAGAGGGAAACTATTATTGCTGTAAAATCCTCTCCTCCAGGTAGTAGAGTAAGTAAAAAAGAATAACAAAAACAATGAGATGGAATACAAGAGATGATAAAGCAAGAATTCAAGTATAATGGGTTTAAGCATGACATAAATTAGGATGAACGCTAGAAGTGAGGCCATAAAGAATTGATATACAGCAGATGACGGAAAAGCCAGTGTTCCAGACCAGGAGCGCACTCCTTCCTGCTAGCTTACTTCTACGAGAGCACAAGACACACTGCAGTGCATACTGAAGAGAAAGGCTGCCAGAACTTAATTGCTTTCAGAAGGGATGCCAAGAGCTAACACTGAGCATGTCCTGTTTCACTAAAGGAAAATGGTCAGACACGCACAGAAAATGGAGTGGAACTGAGAGCAGAACTTGGACTTCTACAGATACTTAACAACAGTCTAAGAAGCAAATATTCTAAATACAGTTTTTTAATACGCTGGTGCTTTGGCTAATGTGAAGAAGGAATGACAGCACACTTCACTGTATTTAGTAAATCTCCCTAAAAAGTAAACTTTGCATTTTTAAACACAACTGTAGTGAGGCTTAAAAAGCTGTACTTTAAAAAATAAATATTTATATTTGGAAAGAGAAATGGAAGTCGCCTACTTGACACAAGAGCCACTTTTCAAATATTTGTTGAAGAATTTAAAATATTTGCTCAAGAGAGACAATTATGAAGAGTCAGGACATCCTGCCAGAAGATCTAACGGCTTTATGGCCTAAGGGCCACTCTGTTCCCCAGGTCCTTCAGAAATGATGATGAAGCAGAATTCTCAATGAAGACAAGTCACTGGTTTGTAAGTCACCAACTGGTAACACTGTGTAGAACAGCATGAACAAATAAAACATTTATCTAAAGGTTGTTAGACACATCTTCCTTCTCCCTTCAGAACATTCATGCCTCAGAGTTCTTGATAGACTTTTCTCTGCAGTATCTTGAGGATGAGGTAGGACAAAGTGAGGCAGAGCCTAAACCCAGACTCAGTGAGAAAGGAGATTACCAGGAGCAGGCCCTGCATTTCCACAACTTGTCCGAGTATGGATTTACAAGAACTAGCTGCTACAAGAAGTAGCAGGGAAGTGGGAAGGCTAAAGGAGATCAGGCTTAGAGATGAGGAGGGCCTCACATGTTCTACTTTCAACTATTAGGTTGCCTGTCCATGTCTGGTGAGGTGGACATCACAAATAAAGCCCACTAAAAAGATCGGGCACAGAATGGCCAGTCTATACTGAAAAGCTCTGCTAGGCTGATTAGCTTGGCTCTGGTGCCAGTGTTACCAGCAGGGGTGGGTGAGGAGGAAGTTTGGTAATAGGCGTGCAGGAGGAGAAAAGAAGCAACAGCAAGGACCTGGGGAGAAGAGAGAAGAGTGGGAGTAAACCCACACAAACACAAAAGGGTTAGGTAGTACTGCATTAGTTATTATGGTTTCCACCCTCAGAAAAGAAATACAGTCACATGGGACTAAAAGCGTATTATCCGCTTATTACTTCTTCGAGGCAAAGCAATTCTAAAGAAAACAACTGTTCAGGTATGCCCCTGTGCCAAAATCTTCCCGTACCTAATTATAGGCATCTCCTGGCAGGATCAAGAGCCTAGTGATAGCATATGCCCTGTAACTCATGTTACTGGGCCAGGCTCCTATTCTTTTAAAATGCCACTGTGCCTAAACTGCATGTACATCACATCTGAGCATGGGACTAACTGGCAGAGGTTGAAGCACAAGATTGTTGTGAAGCAAAGAATCACAGTATCATGTGCAACCTTATACCACTGAGATCTGTGACCCCCGGCCTCCCAAAGAGCAGCAAAAAGAGCAGGAAATAGTATGGGGAAAAAATTCTGCCATGTAATAGCACATGCTATCTCTTGGCGAAATTTGAAAAAGAAGATGTGTTAGTATGCTAAACATATTAAAGACCACCCTCCTTCTTTACTTGAATGATCTGGATGCTGGGGATGTGTTAGGTCTTTCCTTGGCTCCAATAAATTCTTTACTAAAGCTTCTGTTTCCTTTAAGTGTCTTCCATTACTTTGAGTATGAGCACTGGCGTGCAATCCTCCCTTTCAGTTTAATTCATGCAACATCAGAGATTCATAGTGGGATGACATCCTTCAAAAACCTCTCTGGATGTCCAGAGAGAAAAGAAACAAGACCAGGCTTCTAGAAAAGTTCTGCAAACATATGTTTTCAGTAGGAATACTTCACAACTTTCAAGGAGTAGCAGAAGCTAAACAACTATTTCAGCAATGCTGTTTATGTTTTACCTTGAATCCCTCCAGCATGTGAGATACTAGGAAGCTTCTTCGGCTGTACATAAGCCAATTTGAATGGAGGGACCACAAATGGTACCTCCTGACCATCCACGGGCAGTTTAGAAAGCAGATAATCCTCTGAACAGCCAACTTGACGCTTCACTGACACAGAAGACAATGGAGGCTTCTCTACAATAGTTGGCTTGCTTGTGGCTACTGCTTCAGATTCCTGCACCATGGAAACTGCTAAAAATAAAGAGCAAGAAAAACAGACAGTCCACATGTGCATTAAGTTTTGAACAATACTATGAACAGATCTCTCTTATTTAATAGGATCTGTGCTTGATACATTACTTAACATCTGCTACTATTCAGTTTTACCAGCATTCAGGACTAGCACCTGGAAAAGATATTTATCCTCATGGCACCTGTACTGATCCAAACTCTTTGTTGCCCAAGCTTCTATATTTATAGCTACCTTGCACTTAGGTGACTTTTTAGAAGAGGTACACTTGTATCATAGAAGAGTTCTTCAAACAACTAAGACACCAAAGAAAATCCTAGCAGCAAATCCACAGGGAGTTTAAAAAAAAAAAAAAAAAGTGTTCACTCTTAAGAGTCTGAAAGATACAAGACCTTTACACAACCTTGGGTAAAAAAGTTGGCTTTTTTGGACAGCATTCCAGGCTGCAAGGAGCAGACTTCAGACAAGTGTTATTTTTCAGTTCCAATTCCAATTCATAAAACTAACAAGCCTGTTCAATCTCCAAGTGGAGGTATGGAAAGAATTTTGGATGTTGTAAAAGAATTCAAGTTTATCAGGGGTGACACAATCATTTTATTAATGGGAAATCTCATCATTAATGAAGCCAGAACAGCAAAACCCTTAGTTGATGTCATTATGTCAGAACTCACGATCATTTTTTTCTTTTTCCATGCAGAAACACCATTTACAGCAGTTTTTTATACATTCTGTTGCCATTGTTTTCGGTGTTGCAATTTAGAGAAGACCACAATCAAAGATCCAGTGTAGCTATCAAACCTGAAAAACACAATAAAACAAACTGTAGTAGATGGGAATAACTGAAATCAAAATGAAGTATTATCAGTTATTTAATACGTGATTGCTTATTGGACACAGTCCCAGGGTCAATGAGAAAGTTAATTCAGTCATAAAAGGATCAGAGACATCAGTTTTCTCTCACTGAGACAAATTATTTTTTATATAAAAGCACAAGGAAAGAGATAATAATTTCAACATACGGCATCCAAATACTTCCAGTGACCCACTCAGGTCCCTGTCTTTCAGGAACACTGAAATTCTCCTTATATTTGTGTGTGCCACTGGGCTTTGGAGTTTACTCAGCTTTACAGCTGTTTTGATGTGGTCTTGTCAAGTCATTTGCAAGATGTGTTTTTTATTCCGTTTCCCTTATTCATGTTTCTCCTATTCTCTTTCACTCGTACTATTTTCACATACATCCATATGCGTTTACATTTTTCACTCAACATATTCCCTACTTTACATTTGAAAACATTCTTTATGAATGATGCCAAAATTGCCTTCTTTGAGGAACTACTGCTTTCTCATAATTGTAGACATGAAACTGAAGACCTGTTTTATTATATAATTGTCTGCTATGCATACAGAAATAGAGAGCACTGACTTCCAGCAAAATAAGAGGCATGTAATCTACTAAAGAATGAGAACAAGTCTGTAACAGCTGGTTAACATTAGAAGAACTTTATGACAATACTAACTGGCCTCATTTAAATGTCTTTATTTATATCCTTATGTTCTCTTTTCAGAGGGACACAGACAGCTGCGTTGCCTCCTGTCCAAAACTTTAGCTAAGTCTAGTCCTTTTACATGTACCTAAAGTACACAAGGTTCTTTGTAGAACATACCCAAGATACGATTCCAACTCCACGGAGGTTAGAAGACACCAAACAGAACATGAACATAAGCTGAAGGGATGGGGAAGACAACAAGTAAGGGAAAGGGGGAAAGCACAGAGAGAAGATGACAATTACACAAAAATGGACACGTTTGCTCAGTTATCCCAATCGCAAGAAATTGCTGAAAGCTTCCGTGCTCCAGCACAGAAGCCATTCCCACCTGCAGCTTGAGTAGTGCCATCATTTTCTTTGTATGTCTATTCAAAGACAGATAGGGAACCACACAAATACTGTGGAAATAACACTAATATCCCCAAAACTTTTCTTTCATTAAAAGCCCCTCAAAATTCTGATGGATGCCAAGTGGAGATACTAAGCTACGGACACTTCATCTACCTTAGAAAACATGTGCTTTCTTCTCTTAATGTTATTTATTTCCATGGATAGAGTGCAACTGAAAGTTATCAACAGATGTATCAATTTGCAAATACTGACCAAACACAGCATATATTTACTGACCTGCTCTTTTGCACTCTACAGTACCTCAGCACTGCTATTTATGTTTTAACTTACGGGTTTTGCAAAGACTCTGAGAGCACGTGGCTTCATGAGGAAGCCTTGAATTAACTTATCTTTAAAATGCTAGTGTGAAATATAATGAAGGTTTATTATTACAACTACATAACTGTTCCAGAATTATTCTTAATCATGAGCTATCACAAAGTACCGATTAGAAGGAAATTCTTAAAATACATTCCCATGAGACCTAAACCTAAGTAAACCATTATTCTACTGCAACAAGGACCTATGGGAATATTTGGTTTAATACAATTTCTCTGAATAATTTTTGCTGGTTTTACCACTAAATGACATTAATTATTTCCCCTAGTTTTATACTGCTCTTTGTGCTCAATAGACCAAAATGAACAAAATGCAAGTGACCCGAATATAAAAACCTCAAAAGTAGCCTGAATACTGGTACACGTTATTCTAGAAAACAGAACACTACTGAAGACAGCGTAGGCTCTAACCAGACAGGGCAGGGGTGCAATATCCTGCTTTAAAAGGGACACCATTACTCTGCACAGAATCCACCACTCAGTACTTGCCCTGATCTCAAAATTGCCCATGAGTGTATGTACAGTATGAGATCTGCATCGACATTCTTCAGAGGCGATGCCACCAACTCCAGAACCTGCTCTGCATCTTTACAGAAGCACAAGAGGCGGCACGGGAATTTCTCATTAAATTCTCCATGTTTCTAAAGATCAAATTTTCACTGCTGCTCCTCCCTCGGAGGCGACTCATGATAGCTAAGCCTGCTAGAAATCAAAGTTTACTTTAAGGTTCCCTTGCAGTGATTTTCCTTCCCAGCTGTTATCAGTACACAGCTGGAGTTAATATGCTTTACTCTTGTTCACCATGTTTAAACTGGGCTAAAACAGCTGCTTCGTTTGCTCTAAGCTTTGCAACAATGGTATCTAAGCCTCAGTGGCAGTTTGCGCAGGCAAAACGGTCTTTTATCTCAAAATGTCCAGATTGAATTTATTCACTACTGCTGGTGAAGAAACCAAAATGTTAGTAGCCGCCCTGCTTTCCAGCTACATAAAGTGGAAAAATTAGTTTTTCTGCATCAAAAAATTCAGTTAATTGTAGTAATCTCTTTCCCCAGAATTGTTTAGCTGGAACCATTAATGTGAGCAAGTAAACAAATGTAAATCGTCTGTCACAAGCAGTTGCCTTTCCATCACAGGGTTGAGTGCCTTACCTAGAAAGAAAGGGCTACATATGGGTATTGAGGATGTAACAGTAATAATGCAATTCTACATCTTTTGTACTTCTGTCATTAAAAAAAGACCATGTTTTTCACAGTAAGACTAAGTAACCTGTGATAGTCTTTGACCATTATCTTTATTCCCCATTTATCAATATGCAAACATTCATACATTTTTTTCTATCTGAAGACAAATATAAAGCAATTCATCATTGCCTGTTGTATAGAAGAGAGTACACTATTTACAGATTACTGTTTGTAGGCAAGGTAATATCAGTAGCCAATGCCAAAGTATACAGACACATAGCTTAGAGTTTCCAACTCAGTTTCAGTTTAAATACAGTATTTTGAAAAGAAAGTTCCAAGAGTAAGAGACTAGAACACCGTTTACACTTTTTTTAAGCTTAAAAATGTAATGGTTTCAGTGACAAAATTTGTGCTTGTGTTCCTAGACTTATACCACAGCCACATTACAAAAAAATGACAGCATTTGCTGAGGGACAGATCATCTAGATACTGTGCTCCCTCTTCCGCTTAGAGCGCTTTGCTTTGTTGGTGAAATCACAGCATGGATGGTCTCAATTACTTTTTAAAGTTTTAATTCACTTAATTAAGCTCTGAGATAAATATATTTGTTTTTTTGTTTTAGTTCAGAAGAGCAATCCTGGCACTAAATTAGATAGTTTGGCTCCCAATTCATTTATTTTCTCATATCTGTATTTGCCAAGTTGCCTATGGTTAATTATACAACTTTCATTGCATGCAAAAGTTTTGTCTTAACCATGTGGGACAGAGAGAAATTTAGCAGGTTCTGTTGTATATTTTATTAACTGAAAATGAACAAAAATCTCGTAGAAGATTAAAAAAGTATTTCACGATCTTTACAGAAGTTGGCATTTCTGTCAAAGGCTAAACTTCTCCCACGTGCCAGAACCTTTTGCTAGTGTCAGCTACCCAAAAATCCTCAGTATGTCATTTAACAGTTGTTAAAAGGCTGTACTAACATGCATTTGTCTGGGAATAAATTTACCAAATAAACCTGAACCGTAGAGACATTTGTTAGGTGCACCATCAAATTCCAAAGCAGTACTGACTTCCCAGCAATGCCATCCATCTTAACAAGTAGTTAGGACTCCTTGACCCTATCTTTAACTTTTGGGGTCGGTTTTTGTTAGGCAATATGCATACATTAAAGACATCCTCCATTTTGGAGATATTAGACTGAGAAAAGGACAGGAGGAAAAGGAGAATTATCCCTGATTTTCAGACAAAAAACTGAGATAGAGAAATCAAATCACTTGCAACAGGAGAGGGAACTGAATTCAGATCTTGTCACTCTGTCTCAAATTCTCTCTTTCTTGGTGTTTTCCACCAATTTCAGTAAGCTTTTTCATTTCTCTCTTCCCAGTATCAAGCCAAAATAAGATAATCAAATGTAACTCAGGAATAGTCCTTCCACACCAAGGCAGAAGGAGAGCCAAGGTTATTAGAACATCCTGGAAACAACAAAGTCTAAAAACCAACCACACACATACACAGAGCCTAGAGAATTACAATCACTACTATTTTAATGGGTTTAGATGGAGAACATAAATTATCTTAATGATTTCCAGATTTCTCTGATAGAAATTTTGAATGAGCTAAAATCAGATAAACACAGTATCGAAGACTTCAGTTCCAGATGCCTCCAGAATGATTACAAGACAGAGATGTTTGGAGAGGAAAGTAAATATTTTCAGCAACTCATTAAATGAAAAGAACATGATAGAAAACGGATGATCGCAATATTAAATATTAAAAGCTGAAAGCAGTCTGAAAAGAAATGTCAGGTCTTTGCTGCCTTATGATGAAAAGCTGTGTTTTGCAACAAGTTTGTAGGCTGCCAATGTATTTTTACTGCATTTAGTCACAGAGCTGCTCCATAGGAGTTGACCAGGTAACACATTTAAAACTACACAATAGACACAAAGGTGAAATAGCTGATCTCAAACTGGGAAAGCTGGTTAAACCAGAGGTTTCAAACGTTATGAGATTTATTGCCAGCCATAAATGTATCAAATGCATTCTCAAATCTGCGTTCCAGAAATACATCACGGCAGAATTTCTAGTAGCAGTTAAGTCCTCACAAAGCGGGAGGTGTAAAAGAAAATATCTGGCAACAGGGATGATTGGTTGTTACTAAGCATTTGGGACGGGTCATAGAATCATTTAGGTTGGAAAAAACCCTTAAGATCATCGAGTCCAACTGTTAACCTAACACTGCCAAGTCCACCATTAAGCCATGTCCCTAAGCGCCACGTCTACATGGC